TTTATTTAATTCCTAAGTGTTTTTGAGAAGTCTGCAAATTTCGTCAATCATGCCTCCCTATTATTTTGTAGGTCTGATGAGTTGCAATCATTTTTATGCAATCTGCTGGGATTTCATAGTAGTCCGTATATAGATAGATAGGATATGATATTTAATGTTATTAATATTACAAAAAAAATATGGGTTGAACAGATAAAATACCTAATGTGTAAAATTGAGTAATATGTTTAAACGGCCATTCTATTTCGCAGCTTAAATTTTGCATTTACATATTTGGCTGAACATTCGACCTTGGTAACTATAAAAGGCTAGGCGCAAATGATGCAAGTGCCGAAAATCTTATTTCCACTTGCATCCGCGTAGTTAGACAGTTCAGCTCAGACTTCGAACTTCTGCACTTTGAGGAAGTGTAAAATTTCAGGCTTTGTTCATAATATAGATATTGCTTAGACAAACATAATAGCAATCGTACTTTATCATTTTTTAAAATATTAATAGCTTCAATGATTTTGCTTTTTTACGAATTTACCACAAATATGATATCATTAAAAGTTCCTTTGAGTTTCCAGTGCTTGTTTAAAAAATTTTGTTGATGAGCTGCATTTAAGTTAGCACTGGCTGCAAAAACAGCAGATACAAAATATTAACGTCGTCGTTTAGAAATTTGTGCAACGTTTGTGCCTTGAAAAATAAATATATAAATATAGAGTATGTTAAACAATAGGAAACGCTATAGTCGAGTGCTGCGACTATAAGATACCCTTTACTGATTTACACAATTGAAAAATATTTATTTAGCTCGCTGAAATGGACAAAGCGGCACCTTTTGTCAAAAAGCATGAAGAAACTAAAGCTTAAAGATAAAACATTGTTATAATGCTAGTGCACTTTGATCTATGAAGCTACATAGCACCGCCATACTGAAAATTGTTTCCGCGCAACAATCCCAAATGGTCAATGTGGCTGACGGATGAATGCATATTTAACGCAATGACGACTCTTGTACAAATATTTTTAATTATCACATGAAGCAGAATGCAATACAATTGATTAAATGGTTCTTATTATACCGATATTTCAGTTCGAAAATTTAAAAAAAATATGGTATCCATAATATTCTTTTCCACAATAAAAAGACAAGAAGTTTCTTGATGAACAGTATTCAGTTTTGCGGGCCAATTAATTTGAGATACGTTCAGGCAATCCGAATCTGAAGAAAGAATACATGCATGTCGTGGATTCACCCGAATTGTCCTCTGCTTCTGGGTGCTCTCAGAGCTGCTTCAAACAGAAACGTTTTCTGGCGCGTGGCATGACAACAGTGTAATCGCGCCGGACAGATTTTTCCTTAAAAAATGTACTAAAATATACTATTTCATATTTCAAAATATACCATTAAAATACCAATAAAAAAAGTCAGGTAAAACGCCTGAATATTTGAACTTCGCATACAATTATATTTAAAAAAGTGGAGTATAATTTATTTAAAGTTGAGTATCATGTATTTATTTACTATTTTAACAAATTAAGTTCTATTTTTCATTCATTTCATTCAATCGTTTTTTGTTTCAAATTCTTGAATTTATCAATGTTAAAGTAATTTATCATGTACTTATTTAATATTTTAACAAAAGATTTAACATAAAACACAAAAAAAGAACATTATAAGTGTTTCATTTTCATTTTCTTTTTTTAAATTTAATTTTCTTTAAATTAAAAGAATTTGTTAAAGCGATTGGAAGATCATTTATGAATAATGTGAGAACCTAATTGGCTTCCCTGAGGGACACCGGATGAAGCATAAACCGGACCAGACAAGACATCTTTAAATAAAACACGTTGCGTTCTACCAGTCAGATAACTTTCAACCCTAAGAAGATCGCATGGGAATCCGATTAAGTCGAGTTTATGAACTAAAAGTGAGTGATTTACAGAGTCAAATGCTTTACTAAAGTCAGTGTAGATGACATCTGTCTGAAGACTTTTTCGGAACCCAGTGATGACATAAGAGGTAAATTCAAGTAAGTTTGTAGTTGTAGACCGTCGAGTCATAAAACCATGTTGATATGGAGATATTACTGATCTCCACTGGTGTTGCAAATGGGGCACAATAATTTTCTCAGAGAGTTTAGGAATTGCTGATAATTTGGAGATACCTCTATAATTACCAGCATCCAAAGTTTTTCCTTTCTTGTGTAAAGGAATGATGAAAGATTCCTTCCAAATAGGGGGAAACGTAGTCGTTTCAAGCGAGAGGTTAAACTGTTTGAAAATAGGATTGTAAATGGAAGACGCTCAGTACCTAAGCACAAAGCCGGGAACGCCGTCGGGGCCCGCAGAGTAGGTCGGCTTAATACTCTGAAGATCCTTAAGAATACCACTCTTAGATAGAAAAGGTCGCGTGACGAGGTTCGACTGCGGAACACCGTAGACATAAGGATGCCTAGCGGTTGTCGAAGGTGAGTATGTGGTTTGAAAAAACTTGGCGAACATATCGGCTATTGCCTGATCAGTTCTCGCCGTTGAGTTTTCAAACGTTAGTGCTGAAGGAAACGTTTTTGGTTTACGCTTAGTCTTAACGAAATTATAAAACTGTTTCGGATCCTGTCTAAATTGGGTCCTACAACGAGCTAAATAATTTTTATATCACTGAGCGTTCAGCACGGTAATATTTGACCGAGCAGTTAAGTATTGAGAGTAACTAAGCGGAGTTCTAGTTTTTAAGTATTTGTTTTGAAGCCTGAACTTTATATATTTTAAGGAGCTTAAGCTCTTGGTATACCAAGGAGGGTTATCCGTTCTGGGCGGGTACCTCATCGGAACACATATATCAAAAATTAAATTTAATGCATGGTAGAATATGTTTAAAGCTGAAGTCATATCATTGCATGCGTAGAGATCGGACCAGTCAAAATCAGAGATAAGAATATTAAGTTTAAAAAAGTCTGACATGCTAAAACATCGAACCTTTTGACAGCCCTAGTAGGCTCAGTCGTTTGGAGTGGTCCAACATCGATCGCCAGCTCCAGAGTGGGATGATAAAGATCTTCAGGGCGTGTAAGTGGTGGAACCCTAGATATATATACGGAGTCCGAATCTTTGAAATTCTTTAAATTTCTGTCGACGCTTTGAACTTTTTGAAAAATAAATATAAACTTCTTTGATAGTTTGTTCGAGGAGGAAGTTGTTTGTAAGCATAACTAGATGCAAGTGCAGACAAATGGCAAACGCATTTGACAAAAATTTTTTTGATTTGTTTACAGCTCGTATTTTAGACATAAAGCTATTCCGCTCACCATAAATCACGTTTATAGTATCTTCAGCAAATCCTATGTCGAATCCATTGGTTTGTAATCCGTCATTGAGTGCTGCAAAAAGCTCGTCTGCTTTTTCTCCTTTTAAATCGATTGTAAACAAAAATTTGATATGCGCAGCAACGAAAAAATAAGAATAAGAATGAAAATTCAAAAAACCATTGGTTTTTGCTGGCAAAAATCAGTTTATCAACCGTACTAATGATGCACCCAGCCCTACTGAACACGCGCTCCGACTCAGTAGAGCACGCTGGGATGCACAGGTAGCGCTGGGCACATCCTTTCAGCGCATCCATTTCAGTGCCGCGAATCTGTGAAGAAAGTAAATGTTATTACGATTTCTTCAAATTATAAATAATGTACACACCTTCCAATAGTCTAGGGGATTTATATCTGGAGTTGCGTGCGGCCTCTCCAAATATTGTCGGAGTAATACCATCCGATATCGGTGTCTACTTTCTTTCCCAATTTACTTTTCATAAATGAAAATAAAGGTGTTTTTTCTTAAGAGTCGTGTGTCGGTGGATTGTTTTCTGAGTCGGTGTATGGATTCAAATTTGTGGTTTGATGATTGGATATCTAGTTTTGGAGAACTTCAACAGCGCAGTCAGCAGAGACGGTGCTTCGATAATTAAACATTTTGACACCATCCAAAGTCATAAAGGATTTATGCATGTGGCTTAGACAATGCATAACTGCTTTCAGAGGCCCTGTTGGTAGCAGCAACAAACGGCTGGCTGTCGTACAGCACCGAAACTTCTGCTGTCAGCGGTGGAGGAAATTTTGTTGTATCCAGTAATACTCGAAAACTCGAGTCTTTAATTTTAAGAATCCTGCTCACCATTTTGTAGCAGCCATTCCATCTGCTCGGGACTTCTTGTGTGAGATTGTAAGACGTATCAGTATCCTCCACAGATTTTAATTTGGCATATGCATTTGAGCTGCTCTTAAAAAAAGCGACGATACGCTTGCATTTGGCAATAATCGGCTTTATCTTGTCCTGCATGATGAGATTCAATGTATGGGCAAAGCAAGTAGGGTTGTCGAATATTTTAAAAATATCGTATCGATAATATTTTTTTTATCAAAAAATAAAAAGATAATGCAGAAAAACACGTGATATTGCAATACTAATACAGATCTACTGCAATTTCGGTTATGCGTGAGCTTAAAGCTTTGATAGAGAATACAAAACAATAATGTGCATTTAACTAGCTGCTATTAGAAAAACAATACAATGATGAGCATTTAACTAAGTGCGATTTGACAATAATGATAAATGACCGATCTATTCTTCAACAAACCCAATTTGCGGAATTTAAAGATTTTACAAATACTCTTTGTTTGATGTGTATGTCCGTCATTCTGCTTCTAGCGTCGCAAACGACACACTTTATGGCGGAAGCCAGCCGCTCTGAAGGCACCAAGCTACCTGGGGTGATAAGGTGTTTCATGGCCACCTGGTAAAGGCCCGGCATGGTCGCCCTATGGCATTTCCATACTTCCAACGGGTTACATTCCCAAGCAGTTTGAGGCAAGCTAAAATACAATTGGAGCTTTTTATTTTGCTCCGACGCACTGCTCAACTCTTTGTGATTGAGTGATTGTGTGAGCTCATGAAATCGTCAAAAAAGTCTTCCGTTTTTCGGAAATCTGTAAAAATTTAAATAATTTATTTACTATATATTCAAGAATGTGTTTTTATTATTATTAGCAAAATTTAGATGTTATAATATTAAGCCTATTAGTTTTACTGATTAATCAATTACTTATTGAAGTAAACAAAGTTTTAACTTGATCACATACCCTTCCCTTAAGAGTACATTTATTGATCTCAAGAGTAATATCAGTGTCACCGCTTGGCCAATCACGGGAATGCCTTATAACACTCGCAAATAGGACTATTGTTGAAGTGATGTGTAACGAGCGTTTTATTCTAAAAGACAATTGTTCTTAACCTGATACATAATTACTTATCCTCCATACCGCAGTTTCTCTTCCCCTTTCTGTGATGGCGCAAATCGATGTGTTTTATCCGCCAAATATTGTATTCCTTTTTACCCGATTTTAGTGCGACCAAAACCTAAACTAAATACTAGACTTCATAAAAATCCTGACTATCGATAGCCTAATCCGTTTCGCGACAATCAGCAATGGCATCCTTTACCGTTAAAGGCGCCAAATACATTTTTTTAAACCTAGGGTCTAATAATGTTGATTTAACCAAAATTTCATTATTCTGTAAAGCCTGAAACCTTCTTTCAGAAATTTTTATGAGCGCCTTAGCTCGTTTTCCTTCCTTCGTCTCCATTTGCAATGTTTTAATTTTGGCTGCTAACATTAAAATAAGTGGTATTACTAAACTTACAGTTACGTAATTTTCCCCACTTATTTGCTCTGTTGATATTTTGAAAGGTTGAAGGAGACTACATACGTCTCGATATATTTTTAGCTCTGACACATTGAGCATTTCAGGGAGTGTTTTGACACGTTCCGATTTCTGTAGCAAAACAAGACACCTTGTTGTTTAAGCCTAAAAAGCAAGAGTTCCTGGTGTACACATTTTGTATGAGGATTTTGGTTTTCCCTTGGGAGTTCCCTCATCCGTTTGGGCCTTTTTTTAGCTGGTTCATCATAGCCGGACTAGATAACCTACAGGTAATACAGTTGTCAACGAACTTACGGACGTAATTAGATATTTTATCAAACCAGCTCCGATGAACTCCCTGCAGTTCGTCGTAGCATGTTGCCCTCCACAAATTGGACAACCTCTATGCCGGTCATCCCGCTGCTCGTATCCGTCCTGGTCGACGCTCGCGTGTAGAACTCGACGCCTCGGCTCCCTTCCGTCGACGCCCAAAATGGTACACACGATGTTTGCGTACTCCTGTAGACACACGCTGAAGTGCTCTACAGTGGGAAAGGGCTCGATCGATGCAGCGTGCCTGGCCCAATCCACTCGTTTGCTGGGCTGGTGGGAAGCTTTGCACAAGCTCCTCCATGAGGGTGGGGTTTCCCAGATGTTGCTTCGCCTTCGCCGACTGCAAGAAGGCCGTGAGGTTACTCACTCTAGTTGCGAAGGAAACGATCCTCACCAGGTTCTGCTCCGTAATCGGCGACACCTCTCGCACGCAGTTCAGCGGTGTTCGTTGTGTTCACGGCTCTAACCTGCTTCAGCTCATTCTCGAACGCCGTGATCCTATCCAAAAGGTACGCCGTGGGTGGCTGGCTCCGGCTCTGAGCTCGCAGCTGCTGTTAGAGTACTCCTTGGTTGGGACGCTACTGTAGTCGCTGTAGTGGCTGGGCGAGAAATGGCCGCCGCCGTGGTTATGTTAACCCTTGGCCGGTTTTCTGCTGCACTACTCGCTGGCTGCTGCGTTGTTGTAGGGGTGGCTTCCCCTCCGTTCAGCCGGGAACTCCTGGGGGAATGCTGCATCTCCAAATAAATATGGTCCAAATATGGCGCTGCCCTAGCGCTCCAAAATGGCGGACCTGTGCCGACTGGCTGCTGCCGCTGATGCTCGGCGGTCCTTGAGCCTCCTGACCGCTGGTGCTTGGCGCTCCTTGCGCTTCCTAACCTGACGCTGGCTGCGTCTCCTGAACTGACGCCGGCTGCGTCTCCGTGTCGCTGCCTGCGACTGCGTCCGTACTCAGTGTTTGGCGCTCCTTGCGCCGTCTATGTCGCTGGCTGCGACTCCTCTGCTGGTACGGGAAATGCGCTCCGTGCGCTCCTGGCAACTCTCTAGCTGGTCGTCAAGCCGTCTTCCAGCGCAAGTTGCCCTTGCAGTCTCCCTAGGACTGCGAATAAAAGATGTCGTCTTGTGAAGTGCGGAGTTGCCTTAAACGGCTCCCCCCACGCGTAGGTCCAGAGAAAGGTGAACTTCAAAGGACTATGGCTATGGCGTACGGAACGTTTTATTCTGTAAATTCATTAAATTAGTTTACAATACAAATATAGCTCTTCTTCTTACCGCAGTGTGCCCTCCTACTATTCACAAGACAGTGAAAAGGCACTTTTCGGCGGCATTCACATAACCGCGATTAATAAGCCCGTACTTCAATGGGCCAAAAAGCGGATAACTTAAAAAATACTAAATTTCCTATTAATACTGACTTAACTATCGATAACAATGTTTTGACCGTCGACATTAAGTTCTAAGTTTTCATTTCACATTTCAATTCAATCAGTTCTTTGTTTCAAATTCTTAAATTTATCAATGCTTAAAAGTAATTGGTTATCATGTACTTATTTAATATTTTAACAAAAGATATAACATAAAATAACAAAAAAAGGAACATTATAAGTCTTTCATTTTCATTTTCTTTTCTTTAATTTAATTTTATTCATCAGAGCTATTGCAATCACCGACATCTCGATTTATCCGCTTTCGCACAATGCTTGTTTAATGTGTAATATGTGTGGCAAATTTTCATTTTTAAACCGTTTTCGACTTCTTGTTTTTGTCAAATTTATTTGAGAAAATATACGTTCGCAAAACGCATTTGACACTGGCGAAATTAACATTGATTGCGCAAACTTCGATATATTTGAATATTTAAAACAATTGTTTATATCTCCAATGTGGCCCAATTCTCATACCAGAATGTATCGCAATGTAGATTTTTATCTAAAAGATTTTTTACAATGTCTGTTTTCATAGTACGATACTCATTATCTAGCACCTGTGCATCATTAACAAACTCAGAAAAACGTTCGTACAACTTTAGCAATGAATTATTATTATTTAAATCTTTGGGATCTAAAAAACTTAGCTTATTAAGAAACGTATCTTGTAACGGCAATCATTTTTTAAATTGAACGCATAATTCAATTAATAATAATTGACTACGTTTTAAAAAAGTTAATTTGTCTTCTTTGGCTAAACTATTACTTGTAAGTTCTGTTGCCACCTTTACTCCAAGATACATATCTTTTAATTGTAGGAGATGCAGAGTGTTTGTTGGATCTATCGCGTTTATATCCGTATTGCTAAGATAGCACTGCTTAATATAACAAGCTAAAATATTTTTATAAAATTCACACATTGTTTTATAAAAATAGTGTACAACGCTTTTACCTGACTGAAAAATGATGTTGAATTTGTTTACCAAAGCGAGTATATAGTCAAGAAATAAAGTTTTACTGTTGGATTTCTCAAATAAAAGAATGTATTCTGCTGATAAATTGTTGTTAGCATCGTACTCCTCTTGAAAGAATGAGACGAGGGCATCCCACTGTTCTAATATGCGTGAAACACACGAATGAAAAGATAGCCAACGTGATTAAGAATGTTGTGGGCTGGAGAATTGAAAAATGTTTGAAATTCTTTAAATTTCTGTCGACGCTTTGAACTTTTAGAAAAATAGATATAAACTTCTTTGATAGTTTGTTTCAAGTTGCGAGGAAGTTGTTTGCAAGCATAACTAGATGCAAGTGCAGACAAATGGCAAACGCATTTGACAAAAAAAACATGATTTGTTTACAGCTCGTATTTTAGACATAACGCTATTCCGCTCACCATACATCACGTTTGTAGTATCTGCAGCAAATCCAATTATATTGTTTATGTCGAATCCATTGGTTTGTAATCCGTCATTGAGTGCGGCAAAAAGATCGTCTGCTTTTTCTCCTTTTAAATCGATTGCAAACAAAAATTTGGTTTGAGCAGCAACGAATAAATAAGAAGAATAAGAATGAAAATTCAAAAAGCCATTGGTTTTTGCTGGCAAAAATCAGTTTATCAACCGTACTAATGAAGCACCCAGCCCTGCTGAACACCCGCTCCGACTCAGTAGCGCTGGGCACATCCTTTCAGCGCATCCATTTCAGTGCCGCGAATCTGTGAAGAAAGTAAATGTTATTACGATTTCTTCAAATTATAAATAATGTACACACCTTCCAATAGTCTAGGGGATTTATATCTGGAGTTGCGTGCGGCCTCTCCAAATATTGTCGGAGTACTACTATCCGATATCGGTGTCTACTTTCTTTCCCAATTTACTTTTCATAAATGAAAATAAAGGTGTTTTTTCTTAAGAGTCGTGTGTCGGTGGATTGTTTTCTGAGTCGGTGTATGGATTCAAATTTGTGGTTTGATGGTTGGATATCTAGTTTTGGAGAACTTCAACAGCGCAGTCAGCAGAGACGGTGCTTCGATAATTAAACATTTTGACACCATCCAAAGTCATAAAGGATTTATGCATGTGGCTTAGACAATGCATAACTGCTTTCAGAGGCCCTGTTGGTAGCAGCAACAAACGGCTGGCTGTCGTACAGCACCGAAACTTCTGCTGTCAGCGGTGGAGGAAATTTTGTTGTATCCAGTAATACTCGAAAACTCGAGTCTTTAATTTTAAGAATCCTGCTCACCATTTTGTAGCAGCCATTCCATCTGCTCGGGACTTCTTGTGTGAGATTGTAAGACGTATCAGTATCCTCCACAGATTTTAATTTGGCATATGCATTTGAGCTGCTCTTAAAAAAAGCGTCGATACGCTTGCATTTGGCAATAATCGGCTTTATCTTGTCCTGCATGATGAGATTCAATGTATGGGCAAAGCAAGTAGGGTTGTCGAATATTTTAAAAATATCGTATCGATAATATTTTTTTTTATCAAAAAAATAAAAAAGATAATGCAGAAAAACACGTGATATTGCAATACTAATACAGATCTACTGCAATTTCGGTTATGCGTGAGCTTAAAGCTTTGATAGAGAATACAAAACAATAATGTGCATTTAACTAGCTGCTATTAGAAAAACAATACAATGATGAGCATTTAACTAAGTGCGATTTGACAATAATGATAAATGACCGATCTATTCTTCAACAAACCCAATTTGCGGAATTTAAAGATTTTACAAATACTCTTTGTTTGATGTGTATGTCCGTCATTCTGCTTCTAGCGTCGCAAACGACACACTTTATGGCGGGAAGCCAGCCGCTCTGAAGGCACCAAGCTACCTGGGGTGATAAGGTGTTTCATGGCCACCTGGTAAAGGCCCGGCATGGTCGCCCCTATGGCATTTCCATACTTCCAACGGGTTACATTCCCAAGCAGTTTGAGGCAAGCTAAAAATACAATTGGAGCTTTTTATTTTGCTCCGACGCACTGCTCAACTCTTTGTGATTGAGTGATTGTGTGAGCTCATGAAATCGTCAAAAAAGTCTTCCGTTTTTCGGAAATCTGTAAAAATTTAAATAATTTATTTACTATATATTCAAGAATGTGTTTTTATTATTATTAGCAAAATTTAGATGTTATAATATTAAGCCTATTAGTTTTACTGATTAATCAATTACTTATTGAAGTAAACAAAGTTTTAACTTGATCACATACCCTTCCCTTAAGAGTACATTTATTGATCTCAAGAGTAATATCAGTGTCACCGCTTGGCCAATCACGGGAATGCCTTATAACACTCGCAAATAGGACTATTGTTGAAGTGATGTGTAACGAGCGTTTTATTCTAAAAGACAATTGTTCTTAACCTGATACATAATTACTTATCCTCCATACCGCAGTTTCTCTTCCCCTTTCTGTGATGGCGCAAATCGATGTGTTTTATCCGCCAAATATTGTATTCCTTTTACCCGATTTTTAGTGCGACCAAAACCTAAACTAAATACTAGACTTCATAAAAATCCTGACTATCGATAGCCTAATCCGTTTCGCGACAATCAGCAATGGCATCCTTTACCGTTAAAGGCGCCAAATACATTTTTTTAAACCTAGAGTCTAATAATGTTGATTTAACCAAAATTTCATTATTCTGTAAAGCCTGAAACCTTCTTTCAGAAATTTTTATGAGCGCCTTAGCTCGTTTTCCTTCCTTCGTCTCCATTTGCAATGTTTTAATTTTGGCTGCTAACATTAAAATAAGTGGTATTACTAAACTTACAGTTACGTAATTTTCCCCACTTATTTGCTCTGCTGCTATTTTGAAAGGTTGAAAGAGACTATTTTTAGCTCTGACACATTGAGCATTTCAGGGAGTCCTTTGACACGTTCCGATTTCTGTAGCAAAATGAGAGCCACCTTGTTGGTTAAGCCTAAGAAGCAAGAGTTCCTGGTGTACACATTTTGTATGAGGATTTTGGTTTTCCCTTGGGAGTTCCCTCATCCGTTTGGGCCTTTTTAGCTGGTTCATCATATCCGGACTATGCTTAAAATGCATGACCACTCTTTTTATTTTATCCACGATACTGAAAAACGACATATTTCCTTGACAGTTTCATCTACTACAAGGTTTATGCAGTGGGCGAAACACGGCACATGTTTGTTCAATCCAAAAAACAGTTTGGCAGCGCACTTCATGTTGCTTGCGCTATCGATATCCGATCCACCAACACAACAATTCTAAGTAATTCAGCTGTGTTACGGACTGTGAGAGTGGCAGATCTGTCAAAGCTTTTATTTTCCTTGGATTGGGTCTTATTTCACCTGCTTGAACTTCAAGCCCCAAATTTTCAACACAAATTTTAAAAAAGGATCATTTTGTGATGTTAAAAGAAAAACGGCCTTAGTGAGGGTTTGCAAAACTACTTCAAATCTTTCGTACCCGCTACTACCATTACATCGTCCATGTAAACTGACTCAAAATTTCCCGCCCATATTTCGTATTTGATGTAAATATCCCGAACTATATCTATCTTTAACATAATCCCTCTTGACTGGCATTGGGCGCTCCTGACGATCCGGACATACGGTAGCAACGTGTCCTTCCTTTCCACAATTAAAGCAGATAAGAGCGGAGCGATCTCCTCTAGTCTGTCCAGATCGCTGGTTACTTGGTTAATTATGTCGCGTGAACACACCAGACGACATTGCGCATTCTTGTGACCCTCTTTGCCGCATTTGTGACATCGAATTTTGAAGAATTTTGTTTTCTTAAAAGCGAGGGCAGGCAAGCTGTCGCCAGAACAGCGGCTCGGACTAACATCAAAAGAAAAAGCTTTTAATTCCTGTTGCAGCTCGTTCCGAGAATTAATTTCTGTAGTAAGAGCCAAACGTCGCAATCGCTTGTATACTGAAACGGCAATTTGCTCTACCGTTAGGGACTTCCATCTGGCCATCAGGGATATAACTAATCTGCTTCCACACAGTGACAATGATTCTCCCTCAGTTGGACGACCATCGAGCAAATTCATAACAGTTGCAGCCAAGGTCTCTGAAAATGAATAAGCGTTTTTGTGTTGATTTGATTTTGTGAAATGCAGGGTGTATTTTTAATTACTATTTTGAAGTTGACTTTGCTATAACAAAACAAGAGGAAACGCAATAGTCGAGTGCCG